GAGCGAGGACTTGGCGGCGCGCACAAGGGGGCGATGTGAGGGGGGCGGCCTTCCGGGAAGCTGGGGGGGGGGGACTCCAGGAGGGCAGGGGGCTTCCGAAAAGCTCTCCTGGCTTGCAAGAAGCCTTCTTGGGAGTCCCCCGTGTCCTTCTAAGAAGGCACCCGCCTTCTCATTAGGGCCCCCCCCCCGCCGTCGGAGCCCCCCCCCTTGCGCAGCCCCCCGGTGTGTGTCGCCGTAGCCCGAGGGCGAGGACGAGAGCGACGACCACGAGGATCCAGGCCCTCTTGCGGGCCTCGTTGGGCCTCAGACCCGCTCGGGCGGCTAGGGCAGCGTCGGGAGCACGGGGCGGGCTGATCCAGCATCACGAACATGCTTCTGCGTGCCTCCAGGTTGGGGGTAACAACCTTCACGCATCCGTTTCAGGTGTTGCCTTGGCATCATCCCTCGGACGTGTGCATTTTTTCTCGGTGGGGGCCATCGGCGGTGGAGCATCTTGGATCATCTTGCGAGAAAAAAGGGCACGAAGCGTAACCATGCACGGGGAGTGGACGCCCCGGCGGTGGCGAGCTGCTGCCTGGCCCTGGGAGGAGGAGCGGCAGGGGCCCGCGAGCCAACGAGGGTCCGAGGCGGCCGCCCTGCCGCAGCCGGTGCACACCGTGAGGCCATGCCTCCCCCGCAGCCTTTGCTGCCAGCTCTGGCTGCGTAGAGTCGGGGTCTTGAAGAAGGAACCCTTTTCGTTGGGGAGGGGCTCCGTGTTCCTTGATCGCTTCACAGCTTGCCTCGGGTTTTCCTTCTGTTTTCGATGGGAAGTCGAGGTTTAACTTCTCGAGAAAAGGGGCCTCGTTCCTTATTTATCGTTCCTTAGGTCAACGCCCCGACTGTACCGTTGCCCCCCAGCATAGCTGCCCTGAGACGCCGGTTTTGAAACACCGCGCGTGCCGCGTGCCGCGTTGAAGCCATCCGTGTCGACACACGCTGCGTGTTGGCTCAGCGTGTTGGCCCACGTTCTGGCGAACGGTGCCGGACCAGTCGTACGTCTTCGGTCTCCGTCTCCGCCGACGACTCGTGTGCACCGTACCTCGCTGGCGACTGCCAAGGCGTCGTGGATCCTCGAACCAGGATCGGTGCGGCGCATAGTTTTCGGCCCACCAGCTCCGACAAATGATGCACCGCACCGCGCTGGAGTGGCGCCGGAAGGAAGTCCAGACACGGTACGGTGCCTCGGCCCCGTCCTCGTACGGTGTTGAGCTCTGGGCTGAAGTGCACGCCACGGGCTGCGTGCTGCGTGTGTCGGGGCAGCTCAGCCCCCCCGGAGAGAGAGGGAGGGGCTTCGCCGAGGTGCGGCCGCCGCAGAGCGCCGCGCCGGTGAAGCCGGTGCTCGCTGCCTGGGGCCTCGAGGAGCGGCGCCGGCCGAGGGCCCGGCGGCACGGGGTTCCCCGGCGCCCTGTCGTCGGAGAGGTCGGGGCTCAAGAGTCAGGAGGGGAAAAAAATCACACAGACACAATTCATCGTCGATTCCTAGGCAAATTTGGGAGAATGTGGGAAGTGGGGGGGAAGACGAAGACCCGGAAGATATGCGAAGATATGGGGAATCCTGCTATTTGTGTGTATTTATTTGTGTGTCCCAGGGCCCATATAACGAGACTCGGGGGGGCGGCCAAGAGGGGCGTGATGGCTAGGGGGGGGTGGATGCCATGGCGTGGGCCATGAGATCTCCCCAGGTATCATGTCGCCTCTTCTTACTTCAGTGCGTCCCGGGCCCCCCCCCCCCCCTGGGCCGCGCACGTGCCGCCGGCCATGATTTGTGCCCCCCCCCTCTTGGACGCCCCCCTCTTGGCCGCTCCCGAGAGACGGGGGTCAATGCAGGCGGGGTTCGGTCTGGGCGCCGGATCCTGCAGGGCTGGCTCTGGGCTGCATTGACCCGTGCTTGGTCAAACGACGCGAGGATCGGGACAACATCGGATCGGGATAATCGGGCGGCGGGTTTGGAGGATGTATTGGGCGCCGCGGCCGCTCTGGAGAGTTCCGGAACGCTCTGAGAGCGCTCCGGAACTCTCTGGAGCTGTTTATCCCGATCCTAGCCCTGTTTTACTTGGGTGCAGGGTCCTGCAGGAACTTGCAGGGTCCTGCAGCTGGGCTGGACGGGTCCCTGGTGCGGATAGTGGCCCGGGTCAGCGGGAGGCCCCCGAGAGGAGCGGCGCGAGCCGAGGGCCGGGTGCCGTGGGGGTGCCCTGCGCCCCGTCGTCGCAGGGCGCCAGGTGTACACCTGGGCGCCAGCGGTACACCTGGGCGCCAGCGCCGAGGGGGGCAGGCTGGGCGCCAGCTGGACGCCTGGGATGGGGGGGGGAAGGCTTCCAAGAAGGAGGCTGCTTCTCGGGAAGCGGCGGCCTTGCATCTGCAGGCAAGGCCCGCGCGCCTTCCAAGAAGCAGCCTCAGGCAAGGCCCGCGCGCCTTCCAAGAAGCAGCCTCGGGTGAGGAGGAGGAGGATGAGGAGGAGGAGGAGGAGGAGGAGGGGGAGGAGGAGGGGGAGGAGGGGGAGGAGGAGGGAGGAGGAGGAGGAGGAGGAGGAGGAGGACGAGGAGGAGGAGGAGGAGGAGGAGGAGGAGGACCTCTAAGAAGCCTTTTCCCCCCTCCCCCTGACTGTGTGTGCGCCCCCCTGGCTTGTGGGGGGGGGGACAGCAAGACGATCCTGGGCCCAGGATCGGCCTGCCTGGGATCGGTGCGGGTGTGTAGTTGACGTCCTCGCAGATCGGTCGAGCATGCCTGTGACCGAAGAGAGGGGAGTGGCCGAAGACGTGTCCGAGACTGCTGCCGAAAGTGCAACTTGTGCGAGCGAACTTGTGGCTAAGATGGAACGTCGTAGTTGTTGGTCTCGAGCCAACAGGTATGGGTCACGCTTCGGCGCGTTCGAAAGTCATCGGGCAGAGGCTTCATCCACAGTCGGGCAGATCTTCGGGCACCGCTTCAGTCACTGCGCAGCCCTCATGAAAAAAAGAGGCTACGTGACGAAGGGGGCCCAGAGGTGAGGCCGCTTGTCAGGGATACGAGCGCCTCCAGGCTGTTGCAGAGGGGGAATGGCCAGTTGAGAGAACGATAGTTCGACTTTTGGGGCCCCCCCTTGTCGCGGCAGCTGGGCGCAGCTCGAAACATTGGCCAGCGCTTCCCCTGTTCGCCGAGCGCGTTCCACTACTCGCAAAGTGCCTACTCGCAAACGTCAGAAAACCATACGTCTGCCTTTGTGTGATATATCGTAAATCCCCTGCGGCGGATCCTGGCCATTTGCGAGTAGCTTCTTCGCGAGTAGTGGAACGCGCTTGTCGACCTGTGAAGGGGTCCACGGATAGATTTTGAACTGCCGTTGTCTCAACTCGCCTTGTTCTGATGCAGAGGGAGGGAGGAGGCGTGATGACGTCGACAGTGATGATGTTAGTCGGTGGTGGGGGTGATGACGGTGATACCCATTGACGGTGATGATGTGTTTTTGGTGATGAGGAGGTAGAGGGTCATTGTAGGATACGGAGGATAATGAGGAGGCGGATGAGGACTAGTATGTTGAGTTGGATGATGATTGTGATGATGGTGATGGTGATGGTGATGGTGATGAGGAGGAGGAGAGGAGGAGCAGCAGACAATGGAGGAAGATTTCGGGGGGAGTGTGTGGATGAGGAGGCGGAGGCTGTTCAAGGATGAGGAGCGGAACATGAGCTAGTTGGTCATGCCATCTCTGGTGACGGGCATTATGGGGCTACTGGCGACGATGACGGTGCCAACGGCGATGACGATCGTGGTGATGATGATGATGATGATGATGATGATGATGGTGATGATGATGATGATGTTGATGATGATGGTGATGGTGATGGTGATGACAGTGATGTTGCTTATGATGATCAGGCTGTTGATGCTAATGCTGATGTTGATGTTGTTGCTGTTGTTGCTGTTGCTGATGATGATGGTGATTATGATGATGATGCTGCTGATGACGATGATGACGATGATGATGATGATGCAAATGTTGCTTCTGCTGCTGCTGCTGCTGCTGCTGATGATGATGATGATGATGATGATGATGATGATGATGATGATGACGATGACGATAACGATGGCTGATAATTAGGTTGCTGCTAATGACGGTGATGGTGATGCTGCTGCTCCTATTGCTGCTGCTGATGAGGATCACGACGATGTCGACGACGAGGACGATTTCGACGACGCCGATGAGCAGGCGCGGGTCGACCGCGGAGCCCACCGCGAGGACCCTTCGCCCGCGCGGCTGCCCATCCTCCAGCGGGGCATGCCGGAGGCTCGAAGGGGGGCAAGCGGGCGCAGCAACCGGGAGGGAGACGACGACGAGGGCGAGGGCGAGGGCGAGGACTCGACCACGCGTGAGGGTGACCTTTCTCGCCGGAGCGACCTTTGGTGTGGGCAGCTTGCGCGCCAGTGTCAGCGCCGACGACCCCGTCTTTTGGCGTTGCCCAACTGGGGTGGGGGAGATGGTGGGGGTCTAGATGGGGATAGGAGTCGTTGAACGATACTGGATAGCAACGCCCAATGGCGGGCCCACCGGGATCCCCCGATCGCCGAATGCGATGCGATAGTTGCGTCTTGCGCGCTTGGGTTCAGCCCCATCGCGGCTCCCCAGAAGCCGAGAGGATGAGGACGAGGGCGAGGACGAGGGCGAGGGCGACCAGCGTCGAGGCTCTCTCCTCCAGGATCCACCTCTCAGTGACCCTCCAACAACCTCGCCAAGACCCCCATGCGACTCCCCTCCTCCGCCCTCCATGACCCAACAGTCGCCTACGTTGCGAGCCCGTCTGAATGTGCAGCGTGGGCCCGCTGCAATCTGCGCCTTGACTTCTGCACTTTGCCCGGCCTGCTCTTTGGAGCCGATCGGAGTCGGGGGCGCCTTCTGCCAGGGCCGTCACCCCCCCCGCCTTGCTCTGGCGGTGCGCACGCGGGGGGTGGAGCCCGCTGCGCAGCTCCAGAGGCTGTGGGTGCGGATGTCTGACGGCTGTGCTGTGGAGCTCAGGTGCTCTCCAGCCCCGCCAGGCTGATCTGCGGAGCTGGGTTCGCCTCCCGCCCCCAGAGGGCGGACATAGGTAGGGGGCAGCGCGTGGGGTGCCGGCCCTGTTCCACGGAGGCGTTGCCCCCCCCCCCAACTCCCCCAGAGGGCGGACACAGGTAGGGGGCAGCGCGCGGGGTGCCGGCCCTGTTCCACGGAGGCGTTTGCCCCCCCCCCCCCAAGTATCTCAGAGGTGGCGCGCTGCGTGGCGTGGTGTCGAGCAGTGGCGAGGCGTCCTGGCTTGCCCATTAGGTCCACCAGGGGCTGTTATGGGATCCTCCTGTGCTTAGTACGAAAGGTGTTCAGAGCATGTCTGCTTGAGACCGTCCTCTTTCAACACGTCGGCTGCACCTTGTGGTAGCACTGCTGCTGTTCTTTCCCACATGCTTCCTGTGTTCCTCTCGGCCGCGCCCCACTCGCGCGACGGTCACACACCTCCCCCCTCTCCTTCTCTGTCTCACCTTCACTCGCGCGCGCACCATACACAAACGAACATGCTGCCTGACGCAGCACGGCGCCTGCATGATGCACACGTATGTAGCAGTACACGCATGATACATATACGCAAAACACACATACGCGGATTGCACACATATACACAGGACGCATACAGCACGCATACACACAGCGTGGTACTTTCTTCACACCAAAGGGGGTGCGCTGGGGGTGCGGCCGCTATCCGTTTCGGACTCGCAAAGCGTGGCAGGCGTGGTACTTTCGACGTTGCATGGGTCGCCTTGGGGTGCCGTCGCTATCCGTTTCGGACTCGCTAAGCGCGGCAGGCGTTGCATTGTCTCGACTCCACAGGGGATGCTTCTGGGGGTGCGGACGCTGTCCGTTTCGGGCTCACGGAGTGTGGCAAGCGTGTCTTCTCCTCGACCAGGGGTGCGCTGGGGTTGCGGTTGATATCCGTTCCTGGCTCGCCATGTGTGGCAGTCGTGTCTTTTGCGTCTTTGGCTGGACTGGTTGGTCTGGTTGGTCTGGTTCATATGATTGGTTGGCCTGGCTACCTCGCGCGTCTTGGAATGATCCTTGCGCGTGCTTGGCTGGTCTGGTAGGTATGGTTGGTTGCCCTAGCTGGCTCGTCCGGCTCGAACACGTAATGACTTCACAAGAAAGGGCGTCGCGAGATTTGAAATAAGTTTGTGGGGTTACTCGGTAGCGTAATCCGCGCCTTCTTTGGCTCTAAAAGCACTTCTTTATAGGCCCGCAGAAATCGACCACACGTAAGAGTGGCCCTGTGGTATGCGCCCGTTGGGGTCCCCCGATCGCGGAACGCAGTGCGAAAGCAGCGACCTGCACGTCTGGGTTTGCCCCCCTCCCCCCCCCCACACTGCAGGGTGTGTTTCGATTCCTCCGATTCGATTCGAGTCGGTTTCGATGGCTTCCGATTCCGATTTGAATCGACTTGGGATTCCGATTTGGGGTCAGATTTCTTGTTGGAGGCCTACTAGCCTGCCGATTTCTGCCGATCCGACTTTTCCCGACTCGGCTGCCGATTTCCGCCAATCCGATTCAGTTCGATCGCCGATCCGTCTTGTCGATTCGATTCTGGGCTTTCCTGCCCCCGCGCCCCCCCCTTCCCCGAAGGTGTGTTCGAAAGGTCGCTCTCACCCAGGGCCACTACTGCGTGCAGCCGAAGGAATGTTCGGACGCAACTCCTGGGAGTTCAAATTCTGAACTTGTCCTGGGCCGAAATCCTGTTTAATCCGACCTTATCCCGCTGAATCTGGCTCAATCCCGGTCCATCCCGCTTAATCCCGCGCCTAATCCGCGGCCTAATCCGGCGTAGCAGCCCGCCAACGGGGCCCAACGTTCCCAAATCCTTCCGACGAAGATCTCCCAGTAGTTGCTTTCCAGGGACTGCCTGGACGGTCGGCCCCTGCTCAAATGGTGGTGCTCCAGGGGGGGCGGCCTCGCCCAGGAAGGCCGCGCTGCCCCTCGGGCCTCCTGGGCTCAGCTGCACTGATGCGCCCGTGCTGAAACGCAACATGTACCGCGTTCAAAACGTCCGTACTACGGTGGGGGCGTTGGTTAAGGCATGCGCCCAGGATCCTGCAGAGCCTGGAGGATTCCTTCTCTGATGAGGACGGCGGTGATGTCCATGGCCGAGCCTCGATGGGAGTTCCACCGGCCTCCAGACCCTGGATTCCTTGTCTAAGGGTTCCTTATCCAATGCTCAGGAGGGAAAAAATACACAGACACAATTAATCCTCGATTCCCAGGAAAATATGGGAAAATATGGGAAGTGGGGGGGAAGACAGAAACCCAGAAAATATGTGAAAATATGGGGGATCTTTTTATTTGTGTGTATTTATCAGTGTGTCCTGGGGCCCCTTCAAATGCCCCCACCGTAACACGTTGTGTGTCGGCTCAGGGCCTTGGCCCGCGCCCCTTGCGAGCATGCCGAGCAGGGCCCGCGTGCTCGACCTCCGTGCCGGGCTCCGCGCCAGCACGCCGCGTCGTGCGTGCTGCGTGTAGGGGGGCAGCGGCGCTCCTGGGTCGGGTCGGGCGAAAGGGGGGGTTTGGGACAGGGGGGGTTACGA